GGGGGAGCGGGACAGGGACTCGGGGGAGCGGGACAGGGACACGGGGGACAGGGACATGGGCACAAGGGACCGGGACAGGTGTGTGAGGGACATGGACATGGATGTGGACATGGAGATGGGGGGACAGGGATATGGGGGACCGAGGCAGGGACATGGGAGGACCATGACAGGGACACGGACACCGGGAACACACAGGGGGACATGGGGGAGCGGGACAGGGACATGGACAAAAGGCACTGGGACAGGTGCATGAGGGGACCAGGACATGGACATGGGAGGACCAGGACACGGACACGGGGGACAGGGACATAGGGGACAGGGACATGGGCACAAGGGACCGGGACAGGTGTGTGAGGGACATGGACATGGATGTGGACATGGAGATGGGGGGACAGGGATACGGGGCACCGAGGCAGGGACATGGGAGGACCATGACAGGGACACGGACACCGGGAACACACAGGGGGACATGGGGGAGCGGGACAGGGACATGGACAAAAGGCACTGGGACAGGTGCATGAGGGGACCAGGACATGGACATGGGAGGACCAGGACACGGACACGGGGGACAGGGACATAGGGGACAGGGACATGGGCACAAGGGACCGGGACAGGTGTGTGAGGGGACCAGGACATGGACATGGACGTGGAGATGGGGGGACAGGGATACGGGGGAGCGGGATAGGGACACAGGGGACAGGGACATGGGGAGCGGGACAGGGACATGGACGCAAGGCACTGGGACATGTGTGGGAGGGGACCAGGACATGGACGTGGACATGGAGATGGGGGGACAGGGATACGGGGGACCGAGGCAGGGACATGGGAGGACCATGACGGGGACACAGAGGACAGGGACATGGACACAACGGACTGGGACAGGTGTGTGAGGGCACAAGGACGTGGATGTGGACGTGGACATGGGGGGACAGGGACATGAGGGGACCATGACAGGGACACGGGGAACACAGAGGGGGACATGGGGGAGCGGGACAGGGACGTGGACACAAGGCACTGGGACAGGTGCATGAGGGGACCAGGACATGGACATGGGAGGACCGGGACATGGGGGACCGAGGCAGGGACATGGGGGGACCATGACAGGGACACAAGGGACCAGGACAGGTGCGTGAGGGCACAAGGACGTGGACATGCACATGGGGGGACAGGGAGACGGGGGACCAGGACAGGGACACGGGGAACACAGAGAGGGACATGGGGGAGCGGGACAGGGACATGGACGCAAGGCACTGGGACAGGTGCATGAGGGACATGGACATGGACATGGGGGGACAGGGACAGAGACGGGTGACCAGGACAGGTGGGGCGGGACCAGGACATGGACATCAGGGACG